AAAGAAAGAAAGAAAGAAAGAAAGAAAGAAAGAAAGAAGAAAAGGAAAGAAAGAGGAAAGAAGGAAGGGAGGAAGGGAGGGAGGAGAATAGAAAAGAAGAGAAGTACAAAGTCTGAGGGCCCACCCCAGACCTACTGAGTCAGGATCTGCTTTCTAGCCAGATCACTAGGTGATTCACGGGCAAACTAAAGTGTGAATGTTGGTCTGGACTCTGTTTCATGACCCCTCACTTAAACAGTAGTCTAGGCTCCTCATTTTCATGCTCATAACAAGCCTATAGGAGAGACACTGTTGTCATCTCACTCTAACAGGTGTGAAAACTGCCTCTTATGTTTCTCTCCTTCTCAAACCTTTTATCTCCGTGTGGCTGGCAGCACCGGAGCCAGATCCCGGACCCAGGTCTCTCCGACACCCGAGCTGCCACACACAGGAAGTGTGGCATTATGTTGCCTGCTGGCTCCTTCTACTCTCAGTGTCTGGCTGAAGTCCCACATAACAATCCATTGTCATTCAGGTCTTTTTTCAAATCATTAAAAGTTTCCTGCCCTCTAAAAGAAAAAAAAAGAAATTACATAGGAAGAGGCACCTGCAGTTACCACCACAAATAATGCTGGTGAAACCTTTAGAAAAATATCTAGATTCTCTCTCTAAAGGGGAAGGTGGTTGGGATAGAAAAGGGGATTCCACAGCGGAAGCAGTGGCAGAGAAAATGAAGGCATAGTGGGAAAGAACTGCTCCAAGAACAACCCCCGAGTCCCGGCTCGGGGGGAGGACAGGGACCAACAGCAGTGACAGCAGCTGTCCTGGAGATGTAGCTGCCACCTAAGAGCAGGAGTAGTCCTTGCTTCACCTGCCACTTCAGAAAGAAATACATTTCTGGAATCCTGAACTGGGAAGTCCCTAATCTTAATCTTAAATCCCAAGTGGGCTCCAGGGCTCAATGAAGGGACTGTCACCACCACCCCCGCAAGCTGTCCTCACTGCTGCCAGCTTCACAGTCCACCTAGAATCCCTGAGTGTTCTCATTCTGCAACACTGCTGCAGCTAGGCATGATAGCTGTTAACTGACAAAATAATGGCTATGTTTCTCACAAGCTGGTCTATACATCTGGACAGGAGCCTGGGCCAGGAGGTAACATGCTGAAACTCAGAAGAATTAGATCCTTCCTATACTTGGCATTAAAGAAGGGCTGCACTGCAGCTTTACTTAAACAAAGGCTGGGTGTCTGTTACAGCCACTACCTGAATACTGGGTAGGAATTTACCAAAAGCACTTTTTTTAAAGGCAGGCAGCACTTC